GCTAACACAGATAAAAAAGAGCTAACAGCTAATGAAGCTAACACAGATAAAAAAGAGCTAACAGCTAATGAAGCTAACACAGCTAAAACAGAGCTAACAGCTAATGAAGCTAACACAGCTAAAAAAGAGCTAACAGCTAATGAAGCTAACACAGATAAAAAGAGCTAACAGCTAATGAAGCTAACACAACTAAAAAGAGCTAACAGCTAATGAAGCTAACACAGATAAAAAAGAACTAACAGCTAATGAAGCTAACACAGATAAAAAAGAGCTAACAGCTAATGAAGCTAACACAGCTAAAAAAGAGCTAACAGTTAATGAAGCTAACACAGCTAAAAAAAGAGCTAACAGCTAATGAAGCTAACACAGCTAAAAAATGAGCTAACAGCTAATGAAGCTAACACAGATAAAAAGAGCTAACAGCTAATGAAGCTAACACAGCTAAAAAAAGAGCTAATAGCTAATGAAGCTAACACAGATAAAAAAGAGCTAACAGCTAATGAAGCTAACACAGATAAAAAAGAGCTAACAGCTAATGAAGCTAACAGATAACGGAGCTGGAAACCACATCATACCTGGAGGATTGGGGGAGTCACCTGTAACAAACACATGGACTGACAGTTTACACATCAAACAACAGCACAGACACACACTCTACAAGTGTTCCAAACACTTTCACAGAATTATTATTTTAATAACATTTGAATGTTATTTTATTATTCTGTGTTCAGTGCCATGAGACAACGTAGGTTGTGACTTGTTGCTATATAAATCAGCTGAACTGAGTTATATTCTTTACTAAAAACACTGAACATAAAGAGTAAATTTATAAGTTTTTGGATGAACCTGTTAAAACTTCAGACTTTACAGAAAACAGTAAATATACAAAATGCTTGATGTTTTCATCCCATGAAAGTATGAAGGATGCTGTTACGTACCACATCCTTCGTTGCCCTTAGAGTCCTTGTATTTACACGTGCACTCATATGATCCAGGGCTGTTTTTACACTCGTACTTGGCGTTCTCACAGGCCATGAGCGCAGTGCATTCATCGATGTCTGCAACACAACATGTGCTGATTGTAAAGTTTGACATGCCGTGGAAATACTTTTCTTTTCTGTTTTTTGCACCTGTGCAGTTTTGTCCATCCCCGGTGTAACCCAGCTTGCACGTGCACGTGTAGTTGAGCTTGGTGCTGAGACAGTCTGCGTCTTTGTGGCAGGGGAAGGGGAAAGGTGGGCTGCACATGTCTGAGAGGAAACACCACTCAGGTCACTGCTGAAAGCCTCACAAGTCAAACTGCTCATCATTTACAAACCGTGGTTAAAGCACTTGTATCCTTCTTTCCCATTAGAGACGGTGTTATCAGGACACGCTGCACAGATGAACTGAGCCGGTACTGATCCAGACTGACACTGCACCCCCCGGAAACAGGGTTTACCTCGACATGTGTCACTTCTGTTGCCACAAAACGTCCCGCTGTAACCCTTTGGACACAGACATCCTGCAACCTGCACCCATTGCACAAATAGGTCACTTTACTTCAGGTAGATTCAGTGTAGTAAACATATGTAGTGTTGTATAAATAGTAAAAAGTACAGATACACAAAAATTCTACTTAAGTACAGTAAGAAAGTATTTATACTTAGTTACTTTACAACTCTGGGTAGATTCTATAAATCTGTGGTTTCAAGCAGCTCGTTGTTTTAAATGAAAGGAACTGAATTTTCTTTATTTTACTGCCTTAAAGCCAACAGATGGGCAGCATGATGGAGCAGTGGTTACAGCTGTCGCCTCACAGTTAGAAGGTCACAGGTTCAACTCTCTAACCTGCTGCAGGGGGTGCTGAAGACTTTTGCACGACTAATCATTTTTTCATAATACTTTTAAAAACTCTTTCCTGRTTCTGTTCGTGAAGTATTTAATAAAGGTCGGTTCTGTTCATCGTGAGGTCACAGAGAAGAAACATCAAGACTTCTCTGATCCCAGGAACCAAAGCAGAACCAGTAAAAACTCTTTCAGAACCTGGAACTTTCCCCGCAGGTGGTTTTCCACCACGGCGTCATACAGGCAGGTTCCTCCGTTGAGACAGCTGCAGACTTTCAGCAGGGGGGTGAACAGGGAGCTGGAGGTGGTTCCGTGGACTCTGATGGTCAGCTGGACAGGCTGGGTGCTGAGGGGCCTCCACGTCAGGAGTCCATCATCTGGAGGAGACGAGACAGAAACAGGACATTTAGTCCTCATCAGGTGGGGACAGACCTGTTAATCAGCTGTTAATGAGGACCAACACTGTGTGTGTGTGTGTGTGTGTGTGTGTGTGTGTGTGTGTGTGTGTGTGTGTGTGTGTGTGTGTGTGTG